CAGGACCTCCCTACCGCCCCCCACGACCGAGGCCACCAGCTCCCCGCTGAGCACCGCCCTGGGCTCCTCCACAGTCACCTCCACGGCCACGTCACCAGCAGTCGGGTCCACGGCCTGCGAGCCTCGCTGTGCCTGGACGGATTGGCTAGACGAGAGCTATCCGGTGCCAGGGGCCTCCGGTGGGGACTTTGAGACGTATGCCAACATCCGGGCGGCCGGCAAAGCCATCTGCAAGCGGCCCCTGGACCTGGAGTGTCGGGCCGAGCTGCTGCCCAACGTGCCCCTGCAGGAGCTGGGCCAGGTAGTGCAGTGCAGGCTGGGCGAGGGTCTGGTGTGCCACAATCGTGACCAGGTTGGCCGGTTCAAGATGTGCCTCAACTACCACATCCGTGTGCTCTGCTGTGACGACTACAGCCACTGTCCCAGCACCCTGGCCACCACTACGATGACCCCCCGGGCCACCAGCCCGGGTCCGACCCCCACACTGGCTGCCAGTACCACCGTCTGGTCCCCAACGACCCCCAGTCCTACAGCGCCCAGCATGGGCCACACCGCGGCCACCTCCCCGTGCCAGCCCGCCTGCCGCTGGACGGGCTGGCTGGACAGTGACCAGCCCCTGCCCGGCCGCTTCGGGGGCGACATTGAGACCTACTACCACATCCAGGACACGGGCGGCCAGCTCTGCGCGGATCCCGAGGCCATCGAGTGCCAGGCCGTCCTCTTCCCGGACGTGCCCTTGGAGCAGCTGGGCCAGGTGCTACGATGTGACGTCAACTACGGACTCATCTGCAGGAACAACCGGCAGAGAGGAGGCCAGACTTGCCTCAACTACCACATCCGCGTGCTCTGCTGTGACGACTACAGCCACTGTGCCAGCTCTGCGGTCCCTGAGCCCACCAGCAGCAGCAGCAGCAGCAGCAGCACAGGACAAAGGTCATCGCAGGTTCCTGGGCCGCGGACGACGGCCACGCACCCCTCCTCCCCTGCCACCACCCGGAGGGTCACTGTCCCCACCACCCAGACCGTTCCTCCTTCCTCTGTGACCACCCAGACCCTTCC